GCCACACAAACTCCTTCACCACGTCCGTATGCCCCTCGAACACCTCTACCGGCTCGTCCCCACCCCACCCACTATCCCATCGCGCCGCCTCCCCATCTCCATATCTATCCGCTGTACCTCGGTCGTCGAATCGGGCCCGCCTCACATTCCGGGTCCGCGCATGCTCATCCGCGCGGTCAGAATCCGAATCGTCGTCATCATCATCTGAATCGTCCTCGCGCCGCCGCTTCCGCGTCCATCGTTGGCCAGAGGCACCACTCGCGCCGGAGCCTGCGCGCGTCCGTGCGGAAGAGGGACCTGTATACACGCCGAAGGATTGCAAGTCAGCTCGAGACTCGATACAAAAGAAGTGAAAGCAACACCGACCAAACGCATACATCCCCAACCCCGTACCCCCGCGCTGCGGCAAGCTCAGCACCCCGCGCCCGAACGGGAGATGGCGCGCGCGCCACACGGGATGCGCGGTGCGGATTGTGTGCAGCGGGGTGTGCTCTTGCGCGCCGGGTCCTTGGGCGGGGTAAGCGGGACCCCGGCGGCTGGAGGACCAGTGCGAGTGGTCTGAGTGCGGGTGGTTGTGGGCGTGGTACTCCGGTGCGCAGTCGACGCAGCCCAGGGAGGAAGATGTGTTCTGTACGTACGAGGGTCAGCATTGAGTGCAGCGAGAAAAGAATAAGAGGAAGTGGAAGGTGGAAATATAAGGGAACGGAATGGGGAATAGCAGCAAGTAAGTACGAGAAGAGGATAAAAGTAAAGAGACGTCGATGAATTAACAGACGTAGAACGAAGAGAGGGAACGCGGAACGCACCCCATACAGTCCGCCACCCTCACCCGCTGCGCCGAGATCCCAAACCTAAAGCAATTCAAAGTTAGCGTTCGTCGAATGAGACGGGGAGAAGAAGAAAATGAGAGTCGGCGCCGGTATCGACAGGCCCGATGTGGCCCAGGAAACCACTTGCGCTCGGCGGGGTCGACCGCCCAGGGCCACAACAAGAAGCAAGGTACAGCGCAGAAAGCACACAAACCTTAATCTCCCCATCAAGCGCACACGTCACCAACTCGTCCCGCCTCGCGGGACTCCAGTCGATACCGTAGATCTTGGACCGGTGCGCGCGGAGGCGGGCGGAGGGAAGGGAGCCTTTCTGTTGCGGAAGGCCGTTAGTGGGGTGGTGAGAGGTGAGATATACCAAGGCGAAGGCGGAGAAAGTAAAGTGTGGAGGGAGGAGGTATGGGAACAGGGGAAGGAGAGCAAACAAGTGAAGGGGAAAGGAAGGAAAGAGCCACGTACCCTCCGATCCCAAACCAACACCTCCCCCGCATGGCTCGACGCGAGGAGATGCGGGTCCTGTCGGTTCCACTTCACTTGGGTGCCGCCGGCTGGGAGGTGAGTGGTGTTAGTTAGCATTATGTCATACCGAGGGTATATTACTGAGAAAATCGGGAGACGAGACGCGCTCGAAAGACGGGCGCGATGCAAACCCATCCGTTGCCCCTCGCCTCATTCGACGCGGAGACGATGAGCGCCTCGATCCCTCTCCTCTTCTCCTCCCCGCATTCGTCCGCACGAAGACGAAAGGAGGACCCACCATTGAACGCGCTTAGCCCAAACACCGCCCGCCCACCCGCCGCGGCGCGCAGGTCCCAGGCCCAAATCCACGAGTCGACGCCTAGAGGGAATATCAGTAAATACTCTGATGTCGCACCAAGTGTTTTGGGAGAAGAAAGAGACGAGTTATAGAGGGCGCAGGGAAAGAGGGTGCGTTGCCACTTGTGATTCCCGCAGGAGACGAACGTAACGCTCGTCCCCGGCTCAACGGTCATGAAAGCACCCCCAAAAAACATACACACACCCACTTACCAGTACTAGCAACCACATCGCGCTCCTCCCTCGCCGGATGCCAATTGATATCCGTAATTGCCCGATAATGCGCGTGCAGGATGTGTGCGATCGAGGACGGGGCGGAGGCGCTTGCTTTGACTGGGACGCTCTTGGCTCCTTTCTTGTTGCTGCTGTTTGGGGGGTAGGAGGAGGAGGGGAGAAGGAGGTTCCAGATTAGCCTGGAGGCGGGGGCGTCAGCGTTAGTGTATGGAGGGAAAGGGATATGAAGGGAGAGAAAGTAAGACGGGGAGAGGGTAGGGCGCGGAAAAGGGAGGGAGGAAGGGAGGAAGGGAGGAGAAGGAGGAAGAGACGCACAGTTTCTCGGAGCTAGTGCTGACGATGTACTCTGCGCGGCTGGCGTGTGGGTTCCATTGGACGTCGGCGACGTCCCAGGTTCCGCCCTATCGAGCGAAATATTAGTTCTCTCGTGTGGATACAAATACAAGAGGGATTTTGGGAGAAGGGGAGGTGGGTAGAGGGCAAGGAGTTACCTGTGGTAGGAACCGGGGTACGCTGAGCGGCGATTCGAGATCGATGATAAAGAGACCGCGACGGGCGGCGAGGACGATGTCCCGGGACGTTGGGGAGATGGACATCTACGCGGAGAGATTAGCATGACCAACACAAGTAAGAGGAGAACGCGGTCAAGCGGAGGAAATCAATGCTTGTCGCAACGTGGCCGAATAAGCTGAAAAACAAGTGAAATGCTCACGCACATTCCCCACCGCGTCGCCCACCAACCGCTTCATGTCAATCTGCATCCCCACCCGAAAGTTATTCGAGCTCGAGCTCGCTTCCTCCGAGCTGTCCCCTGCCGGGCCACCACCAACTCCCCCTCCTCCATGCCTACCCTCACCTCCACCTTGCGGCGGTGAGTCGTCCGAGCCCGAGCCCGAGTTATTGGCAGAATTCGGATTCGACGCAGAGTTGCCCGACCCAGAAGCAGAGCCAGACTCAGACTCCTCCGCCGTCGCAGGATAGAACATCCGCGTCTTGCGTCCCATGCTCCCCGTTCCACTGCCGCCTACTCCCGAATGACCGGAAGCGCTATACATGGGATTCCCAGCTGCATCCAAAGGCAAGGGCGGCGTCCAGCTCGGCCTCCTCGCTGCCAACAAGTCTGGTGTCGGCGCAATCCATGATGGTCTGCGGGCGCTTGGTGGCGGGGCGAAATTGACGATGTTGGTGTTGCTGGAGACGCGCGAGCGGGCAATTTGTACTGGCTGGGGTTGATTTAGGGGTACTTCATCTGTACTGCGCCGCGGTGCCCTGGGATCCTTGGAAGGATTGCGGGAGTCTGGCATTCCGGCAAGTCAAGTTCACCAACTTGGAGTTGTTTCACCGGCCCAGATAGGTATTCAGCTTTGAACCTAATATGTAGTGCTTCCAGTTTAAAGTATTGTAGCCTCAACAGAATACAATTGTAACGCAGAACACGCGGTTGGAGGCGAAGCTGGAGGCGTGTTGCCGCGTGTTTGGTGAACGCCATCACGTGAGTGGCGCGTGGCACGCTCTCGATCCTGGAACGCGTCAAAAATGCACTTTCAAAATGGAGTTGAACCTCCGACTCTATGACGGTCGGAGTGCCCCTTTAATAAAACAGGGGTACACTTTGTGTTTTCACACTGATTTTTGAAACTTGAGAGTGTGAAATTTTCAACGAGTAAAAATTTTTCACTACCCACTGAAAATATTGAATCTACTGTGTGCTTTTTTTCTTCTCAGAGTGATTTTTTTGGGTACCATAAAAAGATTATCCTTGGTTGGATAAAAACAAACTCGGCTTGTCCTCGGCTTGATGGGTGGCGCTGTTCCGATGGCGGCGGGTTTGATCGGAGGCAGTTGAAGGTGTTCAAGTGAGCCACCCACGTCTGCTGGGGAGGGTGAATCCCAATGAGGCACAACACACTGCCTCTTTCTACTGAACCGATGATGACCGGATCCATCCCTCCCGGCAGGACATACATGTTCACAGCAGGAGGACCCCCGCATGAATGAAGGCTTTGATCCGTTTGGCACAGCCATCTTACGGCACCAGGGAAAAAGTTCCTTTGTGTAACAGTTTGCACACCTCTCCAAAAAACAGAGCATCAAGTCGAGAAAATTTCTGTATGTATGAAAAAAAAAAACCTCTTTCCGAAAATTTGCACTTGTGTGCAAAAATCTACACTGAAATTGACTCTTTGTACCCCATTTGATTAAAGGTGCACTCCGACCGTCATACGACTCCCTCGAAACCCACACGCTCCTTCTTTACTCATGAGCGACCACCACGATCCACGAGGGCTTTCTATGCTTATTTATCTCTTTATGTAACTTGGCCCAGAGTCAAATTTCCAATTTCTAGCGCTCTGAAAGTTGACTGCAAAAACCAAGCAAAAACCCTCAATTATATTTTGCAATTAGTGGGAGCGATCACCACGATCCACGAGGGCTTTCTACTAGTTCTCATTTCATCTTCGTCTCACCCCGTACGAAATTCCTCCTCCTCGCGGTTTGACTTTTGTCACTCCCTGACATCAACCTGATCAGTCACACCGTAAATAGCAAAATCTTTTAAAGGGTGAAAAGACTTACTGGTTATAATACAATCCGGATGAAAATCAAACTTGGGGAATGGTTCAAAATTCCTTTGTGTGATTGAGCATGTGAAAGAGCCACAATCAGTGTTGCTTTCAAAGGAAACTGAAAGAAGGACTTTTCAGTTGAGCTGAAAGAACAACTGAAAGACTGAGGGATTTTTGCCATTGGCTCGGAAAATGCCGGACCAATGGCCAAAATGCCTCACCCTTTCCTTTGTGCTTTCAGTTGCCACTGAAAGTCCTTCTTTCAGTATTTCTTGAAAGCGATGTTGAATATTGCTCTTTCAGTTACACAATCCAATAAAGGAATTCAAAAACATTCCCCAGGTTTGTTTTGTCATTCAGGTTGTACTACACTCAGGTGGGCTTTTCACCCTTTAAAATATTTTGCTATTTACGGTGTGAGTGTTTTGAAGAGATAATCGAATGAAGGCCGAAAATTCAACCGAAACATGGCACTCCAGTATGTGCCTTTCTTTCTGGCCAGAGAAAAAAATTGAATGCCAAAAACAACGAAAGGTAGAACTGAAGACACCATTAATGCCCTCGGGAGGAATCGAACCTCCGTCTCCCTCATTTTAAACCACCGTAAAGATGGATGATCGCCACGATCTACAAAGGCGTTCTCTTCCTGAGTTCTTTTGCATCGAAAAAAAACCCTTCCTTGGTGGGTGTGTCTTCGTCAATTCGGCGAGTGCTGAACCAATTTATCTGAAATGTTTCCCAACCAACAGTGCTGTAAATTTAACCCTGATGAAGTTTAGCCAGCCGACTCGGCTTGAGAAGATCAGAACCACTGAACCACCTCGAAGTCGAAAAACAAGGAACCAAAAGCATGAACATAAGACGAAAATGCCTATGCCCCGAGAGGAATCGGACTTCCGCTGCCCTTCATCCTCTGATGCACCTCGCTGTAAGGAAGAGAGGAGTGATCACCACGATCCACGAGGGCTTTCTGATTCTCATTTTGCCTTTTCCTTCTGGAACGCCTCGGCATTGCGGAATAAAGGATGTCGTACTTACTGTTGGTTTGTGTGTGGAGTAAGGCCAGGGAAAGGGCTGGAAAAGGGTCTTCGAAAGTTGTAGATACTGATATCAAATAGAAGTTCAAACCGTTCAATCCAGGATAGGTCATGTGCCAGCGAACCGTGCACATCCTGCTTCTCCTTCCCTGCCAGCAACTAAAATTGCCCAAAATAAAAGAATGTTGAAGACAGAGGAAAGGAGGACCTGTAGCGCACCCCCATCTAATTTATACGTTAAGAAGAAAATTATAAGACGGAGGCTGTTCGATTCAGACTCGGGTCGTATTCATGTTTTTTCGCCTCTAAAAAAAAGTATCATTTTTTCCCCAAAAGAACTGAGGCAAACAAATGAACTCCAAGAAAGGCGAAAGGTGAAGGGTTGTAAGGCTAGTGTGTACACTCTGAGAGGAGACTAGTACCGGGTATAAAAGCTTTTTTCGTTGAATAATATCAACAAAAATGAGTGCACATCGAACAGTGCACATGCACACCCAGTGCCACACATGCACAGTAAATCTGGCACATGAGCTAGGCCCAATTGAGCCCAGAACACATATGTTGCGCAATGTACTATAGCTACAGTGCACAATGTACCATTAGAATGTTGTCCTGGGAGAATTACACTAACCTACATCGATCAGCACTTCCGCCGGTCAAATTGAACAATCAACAAGCCTTATCTCATTGTAGCAAATAGTCTGCCTTGATGGTCTTACCCAGACCTTCCCTGCCATAATACTAATCAACCCAGGACACCCAGATCATAGCCCATATCAACCCATGTCGAACCGTGGGTTCTCACAGATCAACCCCAGAGCCGGCTATCAAACCCAGCCATCACCCACCGGTTTCAACCAGCTCCAGCCTCAGAAGCATTTCCTTGAGTCAGGTAAACAGCCTGAGCCCCAGCAACATGAAGGATATAGTTGATTATTTTAAATATATCTGCCCCAATACAGCAAGTAAAGGTAGTGATGTTCTGGCTTTGACCTGAGGCCAAAAAGGCCTGGCTTCTTTGCTTGGCCTTGGCTTTGGCTGGCCTCGGGTAGGTTTGGCTTTGGCTGGCCTCGGGTAGGCTTTGGCCTGGCCTGGGATTTTGTCAGGCCAAAGTCAAAATTCATCAAAATTACCACCAAAAAAGCCATGGCTTAGGCCAAAGCCACGGCTTTTGCATGGCTTGGCTCAGGCATTTTCAAAACCAAAGGTCAACAAAGGTGAGCCAAGGCCACAACTTTCAAGCCAAGCCAAAGTCAGAACATCATTAAGTATAGAGGCAAGTGCATGAGTCCAGACAGCAACACAGTCCTCGTCATTGGCACTCCCAAGTAAATGCACCACAGCATTGTACAAACCCATGTCCTCGCCGTCCTTGAAAACTCTGCCGGAGGCTCTAGAACAATGCCTGTGAGGATAGCAGCACTGGTCTTGAATTTGGACATGTTATCCTTGAAAATCAGACACTCAGTGGAATAATTACTGGGACATTCTCTCCCTCGAATTCGGTTGGTATCAGCACTACCCATTTTAGTTCAAAGCCCCACGGTTCGCAGCGCTGGAACTGGCTAGCACTTTCTCGGTAGTCTCGACCAGATATACCAGGCCGTTGATGCTGATGAGACCATGCATTCCATGACCTACTCCAAGGGAGAAGTATTCTTGGCCAGGGTCAGTCCAGGGACAAAGGAGTTTTTGCAACCTATGCGCCCATGGAAGTAACTGCTGAGTCAAACTTCACCATCATTTTCAAACTGCGGATGGAGCCACTATCGACAAGCTTTCTCCTGTCTTCCATTCTCAGCGGCGAGTCTTTCCCCACCTCCAGTGCCACGTCGAACTCCTTCAGCAGATATGACATCTCAACACCCTCTTCAGCCACTCATTTTATGGACCTCAGAGGGCCAACCCCTTCACCTTGATCCTATGTCTGTGCATCTTCTGCCTACCAGCCAGTCACTGCAGCCAGAGTCCCCGGCATCATCCAGCACATTGCCTTTGCCCGGTCCGCTGAAGCACCAAGGTCGTTCAGCCTCAGTGTTGAAAATAACAAAACTTGTTGAGTGGAGGTGCTAATATACTGGTCATGATCCAGAATTTTACGGCAGTGCGGGATTTGTTGGCAGCATTTGGTTTTACACAACTTAAGAAGATAGTGGTGTTTGTCAACGCTGCTGGTATCCAGCATCATCTTCAGGCATCAAAGTCCTGAAGGCTAGTAATTGGGCAGACAAGACGTTCACAAATAAAAGGTCCAAATTTCTGAACACGGAAATGGCTGTTAAAATGCATTGGAAAGGTGTCGTTCCGGATAAAGGTCAGTCACAGTTTATCTGGGTTAACTGACCAGCCACTTACTCTTGTCACTTCAGGGAGTGTGGAATGCAAGGCTTACAACCAGTGGCAGGGTGCAGTCTATCTGTGGTCAGCCTGCGGGCCTGTGGTAACCGGTGTGATACGAACTGCGGTTCTGTGAGTTGTCTGACCAGGTGTGGTATAGTCAGGCAAAAGCACGAAGTTAATTCGTCCTCTAGAGGGAAATTTCTCTGTCGCGGAGATTCGTCTGCTACTGTGGTACAAGCAATGTTATGTATTTATAAATGGTGGTGGTGGTGGTACAGTTCCTTCTGTACGGAATGAATCAGTTTCGCTAGGTTCCTCGAGGATTTATTTCCTTGTTGGGGGCTAGCCTTCCAGGAAAGCTTCGATCGGAGGGTTTTCTACACTTGCGCGAAGGGCAATGCTCCGCAAGATGAACGCCGTTCCGTGTCGAGATGCCTGGGCTATATGGTCCCTTTTCTTATCTCCTTGCCTCGTATAGGTTGGGCAAGCAGTATCTTCAGAACTGTTGAACACAACACGTACGGGTTATAGCGTGATCCTTCGTAACCCAGCTTTTTCTCTACGCTGTGGTGGTACGGCTAATGAGTGTCAATTCCGTGGCGTGCGTGTGGTGAAATGGTGAGAATGAATCATGGAGTGGTTATAATCGAATCGGATAAGCCTTCCGCAACGATGGGGGTGGTACTCCGCGCACAGATCTGTGTTCGAGGCCCAAGCCAACGGTTACAGGCTGCTAAGTTGGGCTGCTGGCCGTTTAGAAGTTTCGCCGCGTGTTCTTACAACCACGCGAGCTATCAACACCGATGTTTTCTATAATTCCCTCTGGCTCGTTCTATTAAGCCAGAAGTACTACGGACAAGCTTCCTTGATTGAAGCTTCGGCCCAAATTGACCTTGGTGGTCCCACGGAGGGCGGCGCAACCTGAGCGAGTATGTATTTGAGTAGATTCTCACCCCGTATGATCGAAGGGGAGTAGCTTAGGTATGAGCAGTGGGAGGTAATAAGATGCATTCTTCTACAGACGTCCCTGCTTTTATACTAATTTCTTTCCGACCGCCGCTGTTATATCGCTGAGCCAAGAGGGAAGGAATACCCGATCATATGACCGGAGCCGGGCTAAGCCGCGAACCGGAGATGAACGGATGTCTAGATCAGTCACTTCTCGGAACACCACAACTCAGCTAGGGTGACCGACTGACTGGCCTCGGGCTGCGAGATGGGGAAGTGTCCTATGCCAAGGTCCGAGTCGTACGAGCTCGAAGATGGCGACGGGACAGGGATAGCCTGGACCGGAGACACAGGAGTATAACCGGTGTTTGTTGGGTAGTTGTCCAGCGTAGTTCCGGTGCGAACCAGAACGGTTGACATGAAGAAGGAGCAAAGACAGTGTGCCGGAGCGAACTAGAGGCATATCCAAGACACGGGAGACAACCTGGATTTGAACCGCAGTTGTTGGTATGGCCGAGCGAGGACTCCGGAGTTGTGACCGGAAACCGGAGTGACCGGAGTGACCGGAGTCACAGCAGGGAACCAGAGGGAGACGGGAGCAAGGCCATAGAGAGGGAGACGTCGAGAGGCAATAGACCAGAACCTCAAGAGACGATTGGCAACGGTCCATGAGAAGGAAGCATGGATAACTTTTATTTTTCGGATACTGTACAAGATGTAAAGTACCGGTATATATACTAGGGAGAAGTAATTAGTACAAAAGGGAATATGTAACATGAGGCAATGTGAAGCAACATGAAACGAAGTGAACCACATGGAAGAAGACACTACCATGCGGCAAAAGGGATGAAGTGGGAGTAAGGAATAATAGGAAGTAAAGAAAGGGGAAAGGTAGAGCATATGGTTTGATTGACGGATAGATAGATAGAAGAGTGATAAGATGGAAGTGCTATGACATCTGCCTTGAGGCAGATGAAGAAGCGATGGGGAATGATGATGGAAGCGTGAAGCACATGGAAAGATAACAAGGAGAAGTGATGAGAGCGTTGAAACAATAGATGAGAAGTGATAAGGGATGCATAAATGGAAGAGGAGTTGATAAGGCATAATAGCGAACGTTCCGGGGAAGAGTCTGATGACTCCGGTGACTCCGGTTAACTCCGGATTCCGGAGATATGTCCGGAGCGACTGGAACGAGAGCAGGAATGATGGGGCATAGATGAATAACGCATAATTGTACCAGATGTTGGACTGGCATGTTGGTAGTCGATATGAACGAGTTCCAAGGTACTGGTGTTAAGTGTTGGTGGTT